GCTCCACTGCTACCCCAGTGAGCGGTATATGGTGCGACACAGTGCCGCCGTGCGCCGTCCGGCCGGCCCCACCAAAACACAGCACGACCATTGAGCGGGGGGCGGCCGGCCGACTGGCCCGCCGGCCGCCGGCCAGACCGGTCTGACGAGTTCGGTCACACGCCAGCACATCACAATCACCGCCTGCAACGGCCCACCGGTGCATGGCAGTCGCGGCGGCCGCAGTCGCCGCACGACGGCAAAACGCCGGCTCCTCGCTCATGGCGCGGGCTACTCCGACCCAACACAGCCGCTGGCCGACCGCCAGCACCCAATGCATCAACATTTACAGGGCGGTGGCGGCCGACTGGCTATTCAGCTGATCTGTATATTTTGAATGGGCAGCCCACTCGGGACCGGCGCGTACATAGGGCTCGGCTCGCCGCGGCGGCGGAGGCGCAGATGGCAGGCCCTCAGGTGGTTAAATATGCTGTCCCACAGACCGATGTGCAGCATACCTATAGAGAAAGACAGGAGCCATAGCGGACTGCGCGTGAGGCAGTTTTGCGAAAGCAGCTGGGCACGACGAGCTGCTAATGTGTCGCCACAGCATCACTCGCTGCGTCGCTTCAGCCGGCAGACTCAGTCACACAGTAGTCGAGCCCTCCGTGAGTCCGTAGCCGGCTTATCCACTGCGTGTGACCCGGGGCGAACCATTCGTCCTCTGATGAGCGGCGCTCGTTACCGGGCGCTCCGATCTCCATCCCTCCACGCCGCCGCCCGTCGCCAGTGAAAGGACTGAGCGGCGCGGCGGCGCGCTGTACCGCCCGCCGGCATCGGAGACGGAGACGAGTCTGAAAGCGAAAGCGCAGCGGGCCGCGCCGCTCGGAGATGGCTCTGGCCGGCCTGTGGGACGGGGCGGGGAGGGATGAGGAGGCTGTGCAGCGGCACGCATACCGACGACGGCCCTCCATGGCCGCACACGCTCCGGGTCACTGCACTGGGTACGGCCGCTGACCGGCGCGCCGCGGGCCGGCGGCCAAACCAAACGGCGCCGCCTCAGTCTGCCACCTCTAGTCCCACTCACTGGCCAGCGGACAGGATACCGAGCAATCGGCGCCTTCAGACGATCCTCACACACACACATACACACCAGAGGGATGACCGCATCTAAAACAAATCGCAAACACCCCTAAGGAACGCCGACATTATCGACTCGCTGTCGGATCTCCACTACGCCGCCCTACGTTTGACATGGACAAGGCGCCCGGGGCCGACGCGGTCGACCCACATGAGTCGATCACCGCCGTCAGCAGCCGAGAGCGGTCACTTCCTGATGTGACGGTGACCAGACCAGCCCAGACGCAGTGAGATGCGGGACCAGACCAGACCAGACCGCGGTAGTCCGGACCAGGGAGATCCTGGTCCCGACAGAGACGAACGGCCGTGATCGTTGCACTAAAGGACACGGTGCTTCCTGGTGCAGTGTGACAAAGAGGGGTCTGTTGATGCGGTGAGTGGTCAGCCGAAGGGCGAGGGTGGTACCGACGGCCGACCACACCCAGACGTTCTCGGTTCCTGCTCGCCTGTGACCGCCAAGGCCGGCGGTGGTCCGAGTCGAGTGAGCCGCGAGCAGTGCGTCACATCACACAAACGGCTGCACAGCGGGACACAACAAAGAGACGGTCACCACAGCCCACTCCCGGATATTGAGGCAAAAAGTCGCGGCGCAGACCGGAGCAAAATAAATCAGACTAACCAAACATCCAAGCAGACACTACACTTGACGCACCAGACACTGGACCACTAGCCATACGTCGAGCACGGGAGGAAACGTCCTCACAGCCAGCTCTACCCGGAGCCGCCGGCGCCCCGGACACCGCCGTGCTGTCAGCGCTCGTCACATAAATCCAGTCAGCGTCGTTCCGGCAATCCTGGCGGCGCGGCCCCGCCAATTGTCGGCGGTTCGAGCGGCCACTCATGGCGACTGAGGCGCAGCAAGCTGGGCCCGGCGCCGGCGGCATGTTGCGGCCCACCGTCGCAGCAACCTACGCCCGGAGCCGCAATAGGCGGGCACAGAGTCGCAGCATGCTAGGACCGGCATCACTGTTTCAGTAATTACGCTCGCAGCTCAAATCGATATAAAACAGTCAAAGCCAAGCTGCTTCGATTCGGGAGTGATTTGACACGCACGCCATGAGCCACTCATTCAAAACGTCGACATGCTGAGCCAGACGGTTCTGCCACAACCAATAGGCGACATCAAAGGGGACTCTCAGCTCCAACTCCGTCCAGAATCTTATCACTGAGAGATCAAACGCCGTCGGTCTTAGTTCCATCGGCGCGGCCGTTAACCCCAGTGGCTGAGCTATGATTCAGCTGCTCTGGCTAGACCGTCGATGCCGGCTACACCTGGCCTCATGCCACGTGTGGACGCCGGGCCAATGGACATCGATCGGATCCCGCACGCCCGGCGGCGCCCTCGCCAATTGGATTAGCACCGCCGCCACGGTTGAGACGACATCAGACGGAGACGACGACGCACTTGACGGGACTCCGACGGTCCATGGTTGGTCCGACGACGGTGCATATGTCGCTAATTGACGCGACAGCCTTCGGGAAGTCAGAACTGACGGTCCATGACTGGTCCTCCGACGGTTCGGTCCATGCTGATATTCAGATGGACCTCATGACCTCAGACGGTGGCAGCTCATCCATATGCTTAGTAAGCACCTACTAGGCCGACCCATGAGGACGAATTCCACGGTTAAACTGAGCGGCAGTTGACACAGGGAGCCCCGGTCAACATTCTGATCAGTCTCCTGCTCTCATAGCACACACTCCAGTCCACGCCATGTCTCCGCGTTGGTCCGGCCGGCCACGGAGGGCGGCTAGCGGGCCCTGCAGCTGCGCCAGACGCCGCGCAGTCGGTCCTCCGAGACCCGACCCACATGCGGCAGCGCTCCGTCTATCGCGATCGGTCGCCGGCCGTTTATTTACGTTGCAGGGTGGCGTCTCTCTCTCGACCGGCCCCTAGCAGCTGCGAGAGGGGCCGGCGATGACGATGCAGGCCGCTGCTGCATGGTGTGCGTCCGTCCGACGGGGTCATGACACAGGGTACGGAATGGGATCGGACAAGATAAAACTCGACGCACCGAGATGGAACGGGGTGGGACAAGGCGAGATAAAAATGACGAAACGGTGGCCTTTTCAAACCGGCAACCTGTCGCGCAGCACAGCTCTGGGTGCTGTCACAGCCCCGCCCGCTGTCACAGCTCACGGGCCGATCCCGCGGCGCGGCGGTCGGGTGCACTCAGGTGCGAACCGACCAGCTGTCGGCCCGGTCTGCCGGCGTATCGTGCCCCTGACACGCTCCGGCAGCCACCGGCGGTCACGATAACGCTACGGGCAGTCCACACAGCCCCGGTGCCACGCCACGCGGCCCGGCCGTCACCCGGCTCGCTCACTGCCGCACGGCGGACATGGCCGGTCCCTGTCAGAGCCCATAGCGGCTGCTCACGACCCCGTTTCAACACTAAACTCAGCGGCCGAAATGTCAGCAAAGGTCGACCGTACAGTGGCGCAGCTAATCCTCTCAGTTAAGTAAAAATAACACCTCACGCAGACAAGCACGGCCTCTTGACGTTCACCAGTAGCATTTAGCGGAAACAACCCAAAACAGCATGGTTCCGCGGGTGTCTCTGTGAGTGCCACCGCACCCCGCCCCACTCCGGAATGATACCGTATACCCTGGCCGGGCCGTTAGTAAACAACACCGTCCCTCCACGGCCCAGCCCCCGGCCGGCATTCCACAACTGGGACACCCAAACACGAGAGTCGAGGACAGCCGACACGGCTCACCTCTGCACTACTGAGGTGTGTTAGGGCACGCACACACACACAGTTATACTGAGTACTTCTGAGGACCGGGAGAGTCTGTGTCAGCCCACGTGGTCGTAGCGCTGGCTCACGGGCGGACCCAATGACCCTCAGGCGGCGTCGGAGTGCCGGCGGCACCACGGACGCCGCCCGGTGATCACGGCGGGCGCGGCGCCGCGTGGGAGCCACCACCGCCCGTCGGCCGCCCGTGAAACAGCCGCTCTCGATTTCAAGGGCTACGGCGAGCGTCCAGCCGTGAAGATTACATAGCCGTGACCGGCGGCGGTGACTGGGCGAATGACTGTTATCGAAAGGCAACGGACAAACGGACCTACGGCCTGGCATGCCGCACATACAGAACTGCATGCAGCTGCGTCTGGCTCAGCCTATCTCTACCATACAACGGTGTGTGCGTCTGGAGGCCTCGGTAGAACGGGCAGCCGGTATCAAAGCAAACGACACGATACGGGAACACGGATAACGACACGACAATCGGCGGCTGAAACCCACGCGTAAGCACACAGTGGTAGCTGGCGAGCCACCAGACGGACATGGACAAGGGTATTTGTGATGCATGTTTGATCCTACAATATGTAAAGCATAAAAAAACGCTTCGATAAAAGTGACACCCCGCACTTATAGAACATACATGTACAACACACAAATTAGCCACGAAAATGATATATCAATAGACAAGAAAGACACATTACGCTGCTGGTAAGGGTGGAAAGCAAAAGCCAATTACACTGAATTTGATCGTAGTAAAATAAGAATTGTTTTTCAAATCGACCCGTGTTTATTGATCCGAAAGGCAATCTGGGCCGCCAATAGATACAGACAATGTCTAAACAAACTCTACCCACCACCCAGATCTGTTAACTCGACAGATACCCACAGCTAGCCAGAACCCAGTACAACACAGCAACGCACAAGTCTGGTAACGAAAGACACAGGCAACTAAAAGTACCCAAGGGATAGACAGATCTAACAAGGTATGCGAGTTTTACACATTCGGTAAAACATGTTACCACAAACACAAAGCGCAGAATGTGTCCCACCAGACAGCACACTGCATGAGTCAAACCACGGCTAACAGCCGCGGAGCACGAGAGACAGAAAGACACCCGCCAGGCGGGACTCACCTTCAAGTTTCATCCCGACGCTGAGGCACTTCTGGAAGCGGCAGAACGGACACCGTTTGCGCTGCGTCTTGTCGATCTGGCAGCTCTTATCGGCCACGCATGTGTACACCTTTTTGTTTTGCACAGTGCGCTTGAAGAATCCCTTGCAGGACTCGCAGGTGAGGAGTCCGTAGTGGTAGCCGGAGACCTTGTCGCCGCAGACGGGGCACAGTTCCTCGATGCCCTCCTTGGTGTCGGGCAGCGGGTCCTGGTGCAGGTTGTACTGGTGGTCGCCCACGCCCGACATGCTGGTGGCGCCTGGCGAGAACAGACACGCGTTATCCATGAGCGGGGAGCCCAGGATACTGTTGTTGTTGGACACCTGCACGTGGGAGTACACGGGGCCGGCGTTCACGATAGTCAGTGAGGCCGGGGACGACACCATACTGTAACACTGCACTCCGGCCGCCGACGAGGCCGCCGTGTGCTGCTGCTGCGGCTCCGCGTGATGGTGATCCTGGTGGTGATCCTGGTGGTGGTGCTCCTGGTGGTGGTGCTGGTGCTCCGGCTCTGGCTGCTGCTGGTGCTGCTGCTCAGAGTCCTGCAACGGCTGCGGGGTGGGCGGCTGCGGCGGGGGTGCCTGCTGGGGGGCGGGCGGCTGTTCGTGCTGCACAGCCAGGCTGCTGAAGCTGGGCTGCACGTGGGCCAGCGGCAGCTCCATGTCCGATATCATTCTCGCGCACTGCGTTCACGTCCGCCGGTGTTCACAGAGGGTCCGTTCGCGAGGGGCGCGCCGCCGGCCGCTGCTGCGCCGGCCCGTCTCGGGCGCCAACTGGCCTCCGTGCCGCCGCACCGCTCACCCGCCGCTCGCTCACACACACGGTCGGACGGACGGACGGTCGGACGGGCGCTGGCTCGCTCGCTCTGCCGGCCGCTCCGCCGCGCTGCTCGCACCGCAAACGAGTGAGCACTGGCGCGCCGCCGCCGTCGGGCCGCCGCGGCGCATAGTGAAAGTGATTCGGAGCTGGCCTAATTCCGTTTCTTTAGGGCCTATGTAAGGCTGATCGCTGCTAGCCCAGTGACCCACTTGGCCGCCGCGGGCAACAACGGCCCGCGCGCAGTCGTCGATCGATGCCGCGCGGGCCGCTCTTGTCCGCGCGCCGACGGGACTCGCGACATGTAAAAACGCCTCTCGGCACGGCGGCGGCAGCCGCGGTGCGACGCACCCCCGCCGTCTGCGTGTGCTGTTTTTGCACGCGGCGCTGTCCTGTAGTATTTCAGCGGTACCCGCGACAGCCGATTAGGCCGTTATATGGGGAGCAAGTGGGGTGCCCGCCAACGAGGGGGTCGCGCGCGCGCGAGCGCCTAGCAACAGCGGACGTATTGCCCCATAGAAAACCGACGGCCGCGCGCGGGCAGGTGACGCAATCAAACGGCTGCTCTCCGGCCAGTGAGTGGACCAAGAACTTTCCATTTCTGGGTCGATGTGGATAAAGGGAGGACTCGAAAGGCGCCAAACCCGCCCCTGTAAAATTCAAATGTGTGTAAGGCTAGTGATAAAACAATGCTTTGTTAGTCTGGGACAAAGCTTCCACCAATCGCTCGTACCCTTCAGAGTGACAGCGAGAAATTACAAATCAATTGCTAGAGACAAGGACACCACTTTTTGAAAATTAGAGCTCTAACGGTTAATTTTCGAATAACAAAGTCATTCTACTACAGCGCAACGTTAATATCCAAGAATTTCTTGGATTTTGATTTCTTACGCACTGCTGTGTACTTAGGTATAAACAAGCTTTTCCTAATAAAAAATAAAAAATAAAATAAAATAAGAGTGAACGAAAATAATTAAAAAATATCTTTACCCACAAAAAATGAAAATTAATCAGGTACAACAATAGTTTTTATTCTCAACAAACGAAAATCTTCGTCGACTTCGGACGCCACGGGGGAATTTACCCCAAATGCCCAACCCCTGGATCGGCCAGTGTAAAAATCGTAAACTTTAACATAATAGCATACAGACTGCAGAGTATATATGGGGTTATAGAGAGCATGTGAATAAAGTCTGACTGCCACATCTTCGTTTTTTTGCAACTATCTGACCGCATTTAAAATACTTACTGATTTTTGTGTCTTCTCAAACGCTCGTCAATACCACTATGAAAAGTGTCACAGCTCATCTGTGCGAAATTATCACTCTATTAAAATGTTAAGAAAAATAAACAAAGCCACTGATGGCTACCAGGGGCGTAGCCAAGGGGGGGGGGGGGGGTCGGGGGCCATACCCCCCCCCCGGCCCCATCGCGGTGTCATAAGTACGGTAAGGGGCACATTATTTGGGCCCCCTAAAAAATAGTGGATGAAATCCGATGACTTTTTGGATTTTGAGGGGGTTTACCTTGGGCCCCTTTAAGTTTGGCCCCCTCCTAGAGGAAATCCTGGCTACGCCCCTGATGGCTACTATCAGTAATTATTGATATGATATTAATCGATATGATATGCGAACAATATCAACATATGTATAAACGGTTAAAAAATATAATAACGAAAAGGTATCTTTATTTAAAATGGCGAGCTGCCATCGCCTCTCAACAAAACTTCAAAAATAAGAAGTTCGACCAAGTGTTCACACAAAACTTAATTTTTGAAGCCAGACTTAGGTACTACTTACTCAATTATGGTAGCATTATAAATGATGGCACACAATACGCATCCTTATCAGATTAAAATCACGCTTTTTTTTTTTTTTTTTTTTTTTATAAATTTAGTCCGAACGGCTGAATGGGTGGATTTGAGGAATCAGAGCCCGCACTAAGCATAGCTTGTTGTGCTGACCCTGACCCCACCACCCGATCGCGCAATTCCAGTTGTATGGCAGAATTTTGTCCGAACGTTTAACGTGCCCTAACGACTGGACACGGTCCTCTCCGCTCACTCACGTTACCTGGCTTCTGTGCGGCCCCTGCCACAGACACGCTACCTACATTGCTAAGGTTACTTCGATATTTGACACATACCGATCATATTTCTATCATATTCTCATTTTAATAATTCAAGAATACAACATGAGCAAAGGCTATCATATGCCTCATAATATTTTTTTCATAACAACAATGTTCGGTAGAGCACCTGATCAAAGTTCTTTTTCTTTGCCAAAAAATCTCAACTGGGAAAAGAAAGTGGGAACCTACGAATACCTATATCTACCGGTTCATACTGGCACGAAAAAGTCTAGCAAAACATTGACTAGGACAAAAACTAAAAATCTTCCTGACTAATGTCTGGGTTCCAATGGCAACGGACGTGATAAATAAGCCAGAAAAGAGGCAATATACAGATTAAAACGTAAGAACTCTTCTCTAGATAGTGCCGTCACTGGTCAAGTTGAACCGGAACTAAATTGGATTCATCATGTAACGCCTTTCTCGGGATTGCAGCCGACTTTCAGTCCGCTGCGAGTTGGAGAACGGAGACAGGCGGGGGAGCGGGCTGCGCGCCGGGTCGGGTCGGGCGTGGGCGCACCTTTCACGTGCGGCGGCTCTGACGGCCTGTCGACCGACTGGTGAGCGCTCCGACGCACACCTGTGTTGTAACACAGCGGGAAAGGAGTGCAGGTGCCGACACACGCGCGCACAGTCCCGGGATGACGCGGCACCCCGCCGCAGCGCTCACACGCATAGCACGCCCGCCGAGCGGCACGCACACAGGATACCGCGGCGGTCCGCAGTTTCCCGAGAGCCCCTGCCGCCAACGACGGCCACTTATGACGGCACAGACGCCGACGGGTTGAGCTGTGCTGAAATCCGCCAGAGCCCCGGAGACATCTGGGTCATATCCCGCACCGCGTTGCCGCCGGGAAATTTCGAGCCGCTCACGGGGGTGTTGAGAAAAGTACCGGTCGCCGGCAGTTGCCGCGCGCGGGGCGGGGATTAGAGCGGCGCCGGACTGGGTCAGGGCGGAGGGTTCCGCGTAACGCTGCAGACAGGCGGAAAAAGGCCGACAGAGACGGACACGACCCACCCGCCGCCGACACATGGCCTGTCGTGTGGAACCTTTTCGCCGATAAATTGGGCCATGAGGAGCCGATACTGTCACAATGTGCGCACAGCGTGCCTCATCAATGACAGTCGAAAGGACCATTAACTGAGCGTGCTGATGTAAAAGTACCAATAAGCTTATGATTGATACACCTAAGAGGGAGCGTAGCGATTGATCAGTATTAAACGCTCAAATGGTCGATCGGTCAGCCTACAGGGATTTTTTTTCTTCTTTAGTTTAAGTGTGCCAAATGTCATTTTGTGAATGGAAATAGCAGAAGCCTTGCCATTTTAGTGCTGATAACGGATTATTAAAATTGCGGTTAGGTGCGTTTGATTTTGAGCCCTATAGGATCACTCAACATGTAAGTGGTGTCGGGTACAACCTTGCATATCGTAGATTCCCGGTATGCATGTTGCGTAAACCATTACAAGTATTCTCAGCGGATATTCATGATGTCGTGCTTTATCCTGCAGTACATTTTGAAACGGACCGCACCACGGGGAACCTCGACACAGTTTGAGGCTACAGTTGGCAGCAATGCTGGAAACTCCAGCCAATGCGGCCTCGTGTCCCAGTTGTAAAGACTACAGAGACTCTGTCCCAGCACATGGCCGCCGCCGCCGCCCGGACGGACAGGGGGGGGGGGGGGGGTCTGGCGCGGGCTCGGGTGCGGGGGCAGGTGTCGACACCTGTCCCCCTGCCCCGGTCTGTCGGACAGTGGGTGGGAGGGCCGTTAGAGCCGAGTCTGTGGTGTCGACCGTCGACCGTCACCACGCCGCCACCGCCACTGCAAAACCGGATCCCCACTTCAATGTACTGCAAGTGAAAAGCTTTCACAATATGAAGACTGTCACCAGGTCATCCAAAGCCCCTGGATCCCCGTTGTAAGCGGCCGCAAGATTGATTCGCAGGCAGCACTAAGAAGTCATTGTAGGATATCTGCACGACTGTTAGCTCAGTATTTACGACCATATCGAGGCTTTTATCTTCGAAATACTTGCGGGGCGCGTTACTCATTGACGAATAACTTTTGTCGTATCGTAATTAAATGAATTTCTCGATTGAATCGTTTCAAAGAATGACTTGGTAAAAGCTGGGTTTCACATAACGATTGACGAGTTCTTGCGCAATAGCCGTTTGATCAATGAAGCTCACAGCACTAGGTTAATAGTTGATACTTTCTTACCATTTCATCGTGAGTGTTACATCTAGATCACGACAGGCAAGACAGCCATGTAAGCATACTTCGGCAAAACCGAAAAAAGGGGCCATGAGCTGCACTTGGCCAAGTAAACCCTCTTTCTGAACCTTTACAGAGCGGTGCTTCACTGCCATGTGGGATATGACAGCAGCTGCAAACGCTCGACGCAGGACGCATTCCCATGCTGGTAGGCGTGGTCGGCCGCACAGGCAGCGCCATGTGCGTCGGTTCAGCAATATTGTTTCAGGAGTGTACCGGCCCCGTTTGGAGAAGGCTCCATCGCCCACGTGACAATACACGCTCCCGGGGTCTCGAGGATTGAAGGGGGGGGGGGGTGGAGGGCGATGAGTCACAACGAGCCCCGGGAAGGGAGGAAGGGGGAGGCAGTTCATGACATCAATCGGGGTGCGAATCGCTACAAAAAGTCGGCACGAGCAGGCCCCTATTGGCAGTCAGCTCTGCAATATCGTGTGCTTTCACTGTCGACGTGCAGCGAAAGAAAATGTGTTGAAGGTGACACACGAGCTCTTAGCATTTCAGACACCTGTGCGCGGCTACTGACGGTCACTAATCAAAAATCGTCACTCGATTTAACGTCTCCATATCTCTGAGAACATGCAACAGCCACCGGTGACGCCTCTGAAGCCGCTCACCAAGCTAAGCGTTCACTGTGTACCGGTCACGAGGTGAATCACTGATTCACTGATCACTAAAACAGCAGCCGGGCGGGAAGCGGGCCGGACTATGCCCTCCCCGCCATCAGCCTGT